TGATCGAATTGATAAAGACTTAGAAAAGATGGAATGGGATAAATCATTTGTCGAAGGTGATATAAAGTATATATCGATGTGCGTCTTAGTTGATAGTACGAAGAATGTGTGGGTGAGTCTCGTGGATGGGGGTGATGCATCATTTTATCAAGTTCCCTGTGGTGAATTGAAGTTGATATCCGGTGAACGTGAAAGTTTCGAAGAATGCGCGATTCGCGAAGTGAGAGAACAGACTGGAATTATAGTTAATTCTAAGAATCTTAAAAAGATTATAGAGCATCGATATATCTTGGTTGATGGATTGCGTGTGTGTAATATCTTTTTGACGTGCGTTCACGATACTGTACCGGTTCATGAAAGTTTGGATGATGATATGTGGAAAAAGTTTGATTATAGGAAGCTTGATGGGCTCGATTACCCATTGATTTATCCCTTGAAATTAGTATATAATGATATTGAACGTAGTATTCGTAGTCTCAGAATAAATAATAGAAGTAACATGAGAATAAGGGTTATGGATGGTGATATTAAGAATGGTATTAACGGTAAGAGGGTATATAATTCAGATGAATCCAATGATTCTTCAAAAAAGAGGGTTAAAATTGTAGTGGAAAATGTTTGAAATAAATAAAATGAACCTCGCTTAGTGCTATCGCACCGAAGCGAGGTGTAATTTGCGTAATTTTATTATGATTCTATATTGCTCAATATTTGAGGAATGCGTCAAGTTGATTAATTCAACATATCAATTTATCTTGCTTATTCTGCTCATGGTTTTGATTTTTTTAATTATCAAGATGAAAGATTTCGAAATTCTTGAGTTACTCAATGATCGCATGTCAATCGTTCATAAGAGAGAGCCCAAGTTGATTATCGTGACTGGTGCGATCGCGGTGGGAAAAACAACCTTCGCACGAGCTCTTCTTGATTATCTTATCGAACGAGGACACCGTGTAATGTTACGTACGGAGATAGCGCGAACACTCGAGGATGAGTTTAAATTATATCAGGGTGATTCGACTAAACACGCATTTTTCTTTCAGTACGCGATGGTTCAAGCTTATCATCTCGAAATGAAGGAAATTGGAAAACTGGGACGAGATTATGATTATATTATTCTCGACAGAACTCATATTGACACCATTCCATTCACGAGTGCTATGATTCCTGATGAAGATGGTGAAATTTTGAGGATTCTTGATAAAAAATTGAGTGAAATCAAATTTCCATTCGATATTGCAAAGGTTATATATTTGAAACCATCTTGTGATAATATGTTAAGACGTTATGAGATTCGTAAATTGGATGCACAGGTGAATAAGGTTGATGGCATTGATGAAAATTGTAGTGATGAATATCTTAGTATGATTTACGATTACTATGATTTATGCATGGATAACATGTATCCAAGTTATACGAGAGTTATAAACGATAATGAAGGATATGATGAAATTTTAAATCAACTCTTCGTTTAATTTGTTTATTATTTTTATTTAAATAAAGATATCTCATCCGGTGATATATATTCACCAGGGTGAGAGGAAAATTGCGTAAATATGAAAGTAATAACACGTGAGGAATTATTAGTTGACAGTTGTGATTACGATGGTACACGATTCCATTTTCTTCCTATTGATGTTGATGAATCAACAGAGTATGGAACGGGTGATTATGTGTTGAGATTACATGGAATTTTGACGGATGGTCGTAAATTGAGAATTGATGTATGTGGGATTAAACCATTTTTTGATATTTTGATAAAAGAAGCTAATGTGGATGAAATGATATCAGAGGTCGAGTCTGAATCATATGAGATGATTCGAGCGAAGCCAATTAATTTTTTTTGTGAAGATACCAAAGAATTTATTCGTTTTTATTTTAAAAATAGCGGAATTCGATCG